CATGCAACACTTTGGCAAGGCACTCACAGAATAATATAGGGCACCTGTGCCTGCCGAAGAAAACTGCTTAAACAAATAAGTAGGAAAGGCCACGCCAAGCCATTGGTGAATGCATTTAGAGAGCCACAAGAGGCGTTTGGACATGCCTTAAATGAAAAGGAAGGGCACAGTAAAAAGAAGCTCATTTGTAGTGTTGCTGAGGCACAAAGATTGGTCAGTTAATAATAATATGTGGCTTTTATATACTGTACCGTTTTACAATGTTGAGAAGTGCTTTATTCGCATTACATCTGAATTTCGTATTAGCTCTCATATTTCAGACATAGAGCGAAGGCCAAAAGAAAGAAGCTTGTCTAGAAGGCTTTTTAGTGTACAGCTTAGCTACTGTATTTGATATCAAAACCAAACTATACTATGTGTGAGAAATCTGTGACTCAACTGCCTCATTCTTCTGCTCTCTGGGTAGCTTTTGGGGACCCCAGTTTGGGTGAAGATCTTGATCTCTAGGCAGTAGGGGTTGGTGTCCGTGGGGTTGATGAGGTGGAGGGCATAGAAGCCGAGGGTGTTTGGACCCATGCAGTACAGACAGAAGTGGGCCTCCATAAACAGGGAGATGGCTAATCACACAAACATTGCCTCCTCCCCATTACTCTGTGACTCAGTTTACAAGTCAGTTGAAGACCACAAAACAACCCCCTCCTTGCTTCAAATTAGAAACGTCCCTACCTTCTGTTGCTTCCCCTCTTCACATTCCCTCCTGCCACCCAGCTCAACGTACAGAACGTGAGGCTGGGAATTAAGGAGATGGAGAAACACAGGCGGTCAGAAGGCACCCAGGAATGGGATGATTGGGGTAGCCTGAGCTGGAACAGCTTCCACTGAGTACAGGGGAAGGGACACTTTCTCTACTTAATAAGTTGCATTCACACCCCACCTTTGCTCCACAGGGCTCTAAGGCCTGTACATGACGATCCTCCTCCTAACTTTATCTATACAATCAGCCTCGGGGTTCTGGCTGAGAAAGTGAGCCAATGGCCCAAGTGTTTCAGGGATCGGTGGGTACTTGAACACTCTAACTAGCTTCCCCCAAAGCTACGCAATCAATGTGACGTCCTTCCCTTAAGCATGTGTCAGCCACAGAGAGGAACACACCTAACGTCAAACAATTCCCTTCCTTCCGTGTTTTCCCCTTTGTGGCCACTCCAGAGAGGCAGGGTTTGCACTGGGGAATGAGTGTCAGGGGAATGGGTTAACCTTTCCCAAGTGGAAATCTAAATCAAGAGGGTTTGTGGTGTCCTAATTCAGGAAAAGAATAATACTCTGGGAAATGAAATTGCAGCTTCCCCTCACTGTATATTATTTGGCACTAAGCTGCACCACGTCTGTTAGGATGACAATTAGTAGTCAGCTCATACCACCTTGCTAAGGGGGTCAGAATCTCATTTAGCAGGTCAGATTTTGTCACTAAACACAGCTCTCGTAACTCCCTGAGCAATTTAGAACAGGAGAACTCCTCTGCTGACTCACGGGGGAATCCCAAGTGCAGATTATTAGTTCCTCATGATGCCAGTCACTTAAGAGGATTTGTGACATACACTGGCAAAACACAAACTTTAAAAGAAGGCAGAATGTGCCTCCCTTGGCTCAGCTGTAAAACTGATTTTAAACTTTAAAAAAAAATTGAATTGTCTGTTTGCTCAACTTGATTTGTGGTAGTATTTATGTTCACTTTAATGCATTTGACTTTCCTTTTGTTTTGGTTAGAAAAGCAATTTCTCCAATTTATTGAACTGAGTTTCACAAGAGATCTCTCACTGGCATCTACCCCCCCACCCCACCCCCGCTTGCTGTACCTTTCATTTCAAAGAGCATCTTATTGCCGTTTTTAGGAGGACTTGGCTACTCGGTTCATTTTTGCTTCTGGTTACATTGCTCTGTATCACAGACTTCCATGTTAATATCGGGAGACAATCAGAAGTGTAATGGCATAAGCAAAAGCAAATCTCAAAGCATTTATATCAACCCTCTACAAAGTCATGTCTTGATGTGTTGATGTAATTTAATTTTAAAACCATCAAAAGGGGCTAGTCAAAATTGTGAAGCAGCCATCTTGTATATTTTATTTGGGGTGGCAGAAAAGAACGCTCAAATGATATTGAACTCATTTGCAATCACATAACACAGACTGTCCTGACATCACTCCATGCACCTTCTCTCATGGGGCATTGGACTCATAGGAGGCAGTTGTGACTGTTTGCTTAACACAGCTGCCCCTTCAACTGCGTACTGAGTGAAGTGGTGGAGGGTGGGCCAGAAGCAGTCCAGGAGTATGGGATCTGGGTCCCTTTAGATGGGGGTGGGCAACTGTGGTTTTCCAGATGCTGTTAAACTGCAGCTCCTATGACCCTTACACACTAACGTCAATGATGACAGATGATGGGAATTCATCCAACCATGCCTGGAGGATCACAGTTGCCCAACTCAGCTCTAGAATCTGCTGGACTCCCCTGAGTCATAGCCAGGATGGCTGCTGCTCAGGATGATGGGTACTCCAGTAACACCTGGAAAGTTGCCGGTTTCCTAGCACTGTTGTAATGCAGTGGACAGATGAGATGGTTGGTTCAAATCTTAGGAAGGCACAATCTCTCCGCAGCTGTGGTCTGAGTAAAGGGTGCCTTTTTGGGATTAAACCCTTTCCATGGGCCATGGACTACCCCTATTTTACTTATGCTCCATTATAAGCATTGTTGTGAAATGTCCTGAGCTCCTTGGAAGATGGATTGGAGATATATTAGCAGCAGAGACCACCTAAGTTGAGGAAGCTTTCAGATGGTTCTTCCTAGGCAACTAAAAAGCATTTGGCCTTCTCTTAGGACTGGTAATGAATCAAACTAAGGTTGAAGTGGGGTAGCTCATGGAGCAAACAGTGAGGATGCCAATGAGCTGAAATGTGGTCACTATTCTATTCTAGCCCTGTTTAGGCTTTAAAGCCTGGAGGAGGACTACAACTGTCATGGAGATGTGAGGATGCATGCAAGTTGTGTTTCTAATTTCCTTCCTCAATGCCAATTGATCTTCAAGTTGTTCATTGTGAAGGTCTGAAGAGATTCTTGACAGCATGTCCAATAAATGAATCTACAGGGCTCCTGTGACTGGAAGTCCTGTCAAGGCAGGAGTACTAATCACAAGAGTACTATAAGTATGCATCTGAGCAAACTTACCCCTTTGTGTTGAATTTGTATGTGGCGATGTTGAGCTGGGGCTTACCTGCACACAGCCACCATCCCTCTCCACCTTCCAGTATACAGTAATGCCTAAATAAGGCTAATTGCATGCATAAGGAGTAATAGATGTAAGTCAGGTCAAAAGAAAGAGACAAACTGGTAGTGAGGTGGGGGTGCTCTGCTTTTCTTACAAGCTGTTGACCGTAACTCATAGATAAGGTCTCAAGGTTTTTCTTGCCACAGGACACTCCACAAACTCCAAGCCCCCTTTTCAACTTCAGGGTTTTTTTTAGAAGATTCAGAGTACTGTAGTAAAGTAGGTTAGGTATCCTTAGCAATATTCGTTCCAACCAAATACAAACTTGTGCATATTATCCCAGGCTTTCCACATTTCATAGTGAACCTCTTGTCCAAAATTTCTACCTGATAGGAACAAAGCACTGTTGCTTCACTATACCTCTGGCAGGCTAGGGAGTGGAATTCAAGAAAAACCAGCCAATTCAGAGCTTGGTGCAAACATTTCGCTGTGCCTGCTACTGGGAAAATGTTTGGTTTTCAAGAAAAAATTCAAAACACCATAGAAACTCCATGAATGCATGCATTCATTTACTAGCTCTCCTTGCCATTCATTCCACTAAAGACTAGCTCTCAAAAAGGAAACAATTTTTTTTAAAAAAACAAGACTGCAAATAATCTTGCTTTATCCATTTATACACACAAACATGCTTTGTTAAGAAAGTCTCCAGAAGCCTCAGCATTTGGCACATTAAAAACCTGGTTTTGTAACCATTGCCTGCTTCTGTACAGAATGACCAAGAGCAATTTCAGGGATACTCAGCACAGGGATCCCCGTACAGCACCATGGTTAACTGTGAGCATCAGACCCCAGCTGCTGAACTCTGTTCCCTAGATTTTCCTTCCCTTCCATTTTCTTACTTGCTTCCCACCCTTTTAATCTTCTAAAATGGTCTCATTACACCCATGCTTAATGTTTCTCATCCCAACCTTTTTCCAGAACTTTTTGATGCTCTTGAAGGTGAATGGGTACAACTCAGTTTATACTGAAGAAGATGCAGGACTTTGTGTAGAAAGATGTAAATAGAGACAGAAGCCCCTCCTCCCCCAGACCGTCTTTTACTTGCTGTCACCTGTGCTGGCCTTCCTTCAACCAACACTGACAATTATCTTAGGAGTGCCCTTTCCTCTTCACCATTTTAGACTGAATTTCAAGCTAACAGCTGTGATGCAGTGAGGAGTAGCCAAGCATATTGCTTCTCTTTCCCCTCCATGCCGCCTGCCCCACACTGCATCTTACTGAAAAGAAGAGTGGAGATACAGTCGTGTCCCACTTAATGATTACCCCGTATAATGATGAATCCGCTTCACGACGATGTTTTTGCGATCGCAACTGTTATCGCAAAACAATGTTTTAATGGTTTTTTTCCGCTTTGCGACGATCGGTTCCCTGCTTCGGGAACCGATTCTTCGCATTACGACAATCAAAACAGCTGATCGTCAGGTTTTCAAAATGGCCACCGGCTGCTCAAAATGGCTCCCCGCTGTTTTTAGGAGGCTCGCTGGACAAGACACGCGCCGGAAAATGGCCACCCTAAGGAGGATCTTCGCTGGACTATTAGGTATTTTGCCCATTGGAACACATTAACTGGTTTTTATGCGTTTCAAAGGGTTTTTTTATTTGGTTTGATGATGTTTTTGCTCTACAGCGATTTCGCTGGAACGAATTAATGTCATCAAGCGAGGCACCACTGTAGATACCTGCACTATGCTGCTGTAGTCTGGGATGTCCTCAGGAACAGTAGCTTCATAGCTGCTCTGAAGAAAGATTGGTCGGTTGTCATTCACATCCAACACAGTGACACGTACAGTTGCTGTCCCAGTCCTCCGCTTGCCAGTGGGGCCATTATCTGAAAGGAACAAAGTGGCCCTTATCAGCTTCAGGGGGAAAGTCAGTTCTACTAGCCGAATGGAGACGACATTCAGGAGCCTCTAAGGCAATCGTGGGCAAAGTGCTCTGGACTTCCCCTGGTGTACAGCTAATTTACCATGCCGTTTCAGGCACCATAGCCTAAATCTTACTGCTGGCTTCATCTCTGTGCCCATATTGCAGGAGAAGCACCATAATATAGTAGCCCCATATGTTCCACCATGAACAGTTGGAAGGGGATTGTACTTAAAGTAAAATGTATGTCACATTTAAAGCTACTTTCAATAAAAGGATTTGCATCATGGGTAGGCAACTTTATCAATCCCTATTAAACTGATAAAAAGCACAGTCCAGAGCTGGTGGTTATATAAAGAGCTTGGAGATAACTAGTTGCTAGTAACATGATTACTTACTGGTTACTTTTTGGGTAACAAACAATGTAATTAATGGTCACAAAGTTATTTCAGGTATAATTAGTAACATCTATGTTGCTTAGTTGAAATGATTAACTCTTCATTACTTTTTAACAGCATCTTGACAGGAATTATTCAGGTTTTATGCCATTCTTGTATTAAGGAAGTAATATCAGGGTTTTTTTCTTTTGTATTTTTATAAATGCTTCCGAGATACAATGTCAGAATTAGCCATTACAAGGAACCAAAGGATATTTCCTTGTATTTGTCAAACCTGTCAGTGAGGACAATGCAATTAATAACATGCAACACAAAATAGAATGTGGCTGCCAAAAAGTAATGAGTAAAACAACGGGCTCCATAATGTTTTGAGCTACAGTCACTAATTAATATGGATAGAAAATTTCTCCCTCTTGTCCTCAGTCTTGTATGTGATCTCAAGTGTATATTCTATAATCTGCAAAAGATATATTTCACAGAAGGAATAAGAAAATAGTATTTAATTTTTTTTTCAAAATCAAATTTATTTCAGTTTCAGATTTTGGAAACTTTGAATTAAAATAAAAGACTTTGTATTTGGATGGTTTAAATTTTGATGTATAGAATTCATATTCATTTGTGTGTCTGTACATGTTCATGAGTGAGCTCCCCAGGAAAATTCAGATTTCTGAACATTTATGAACAAAACGTGAGAGTTGTGCAAAACACAGGTTACATGTAAAATCATATAAAAATAAATCTGGATAAAATTCACTTTTTAAAATTTAAAATTTGACTATTTGCAGTTGTAATGTGCAAACAGGCATTTTTTGTTTCTGCTTAACTTGGAACTTCCATTAAATTCTGATATGTCAAATGGCAACATTATAAATCTTCATGAAAACTTCTGATCTTGCCAATTACATGGCATTGCCAATAATATGGAATATTTCTAAGATAAATACATGTGGAAAAAAATCCATGGTCTAAAGCGAGATATCCAACTGATCATGCAAATTGTCTAAATTAATCTACCTTCAGAGTTAGCATATGGTAACTGACCATATTTGATGACCTCAAAGGTTTTGATCTCCAAAGAGAATAAATGCATGTAAAACTCAGACATGTAACAAAACACAGTTCTGCTCAATGAAAATCCATCTTCTTCCATGGATTTGAGATTTACCAATAGACTAGGGATGGAAATTTTGGAAGTCGCCATCTAATATTTTATTATGAACCTATATGGATACTTTGCAAATGTACACCAGAAGAATTTCTCACCAATGGCCTCTAGGATGAGTGTATAAGATGACATGGTTTCTCTGTCCAGGTTGACTACGGTTCTAACTACGCCATCTCTAAAGCCAACACTAAATTTTCCATCCTGGTTGCCACCTGCAGAAGGAAAAAATAAGAAAGAACAAGGGGAAAAAATACTCCACAGAGGAAGAAGCAGAGACTCGCATGTGCACAAACTAACTCATGCACATAGGAGATATGAAAAAACCACCCTCTGGCTAAATCAATCATTCTTGTTGATGTATGCAGTTTTCACTCAACAAGACTCTTTGGGCAGGAATCTCCAGGCACCAAAGATCCGTTGTCTCCAGGGGAGAGTGAGATAATGAGTGTTGTATTTGAGTCAACATCTCTGTAATTTGTGCAAACTTTCTCTGGGCAAAATTTATGCCATTTCCCTTTCAGGAAGACAGCAGCCACACAATGACTAACTATGTTGAAAAAGCAGCAGCAGCTGCAAACAATGCCTCCAACACTTCTCAACCCTTCAATGGCTCAGCAACTATCATTCTGCACAATTTGCATCATTGTGTTATTGGCACAAATTCATTCTCTTCTCCTTGTCACGAGTGCCACAAAATACTTCCACTTTTTACAGAGCGAGGGCAATAATTTTGCAGTTCCTTCTGTTTGGAATGAGAAGAGCAAGGATTTTTTTTATCCCTAATACACACAAATATATTTCACATTGGCAATATGATTTTTTGATCCTGAGATATTGTAAAAATAAGCCACATGAAAAAAATATCCCTACTTGTTGTTCTTCTGTATGGATGTTCATACAGATGCGAGTGTGCATGTCTAAAAATCTATGTATAGCTGCAGGATTTGAAATTATTGCCCTGCATTCAACAATGTACTGTTCCGCAGATGTAGCAAATAAAGTTTTCAGAATGATCCAAAACCCTTGCACTATTTGAAGGTAGTGATTTTAAAATTTCTGGCAGTTTCAATCTTACTGTCTGGATACCCCAAGTCCTTGTCCATAATTAATAAATACATACTGTCAAATCAATTCTGATGTATGGCAACCCTTTCTCAGGGCTTACCTGAGTACAGGTAGAGAGTACTTAGAAGTATTCTACCACTCTTTTCTTCTGGGAAAGCCCTGAGTTTGTGCTGCTTGCCCAAGGCTGCACAGGATGGCTCTTCTCCTACAAGCCACTATTGTGGATTTGAAAGCCCAACCCTTGGTTATGCAGCTGCATGCACCCTGATCATTGAGCTCTGGCTGTTTTCCAGATACAGTGGGGTCTTGACTTGAGAACTTAATCCGTATTGGAAGGCGGTTCTCAAGTCAAAAAGTCTGTAAGTCAAGTCTCCATTGACCTACAGTGCATTGAAAACCGATTAATCCCGTAACAGGCCGTTTTTGTTCCATTTTGGTTTTTTTCTAGTCTGTAAGTCAATTCTCAGGCTGCAAGTCAAACCTAAATTTTGCGGCCAGAGAAGTCTGTAACTCAAAAAGTCTGTAAGTCAAGCCGTCTGTAAGTCAAGGGTCCACTGTAAGATGCTCTTCTTTCTGTGCACCAGTACACAAAGAAGAGCCAATAAAAGCCTGCACTATCAACCATCACGGAGGTCACTCATTATCAAAGTTTCTAACTGTGAAATGTATTCAGAAACGTCAAATAACAAAACTTGAGAAGAAACTGACCCACTGTTTCACGCTGGTGTTTCACACATATAAGTTAAACCCATGCAACAAATAGAAACTGATTTCAAACAATTTTTTAAAAAATTGTAATGTCTTTCCTGGAAAAAAAAATGAAGTTTGGTGAGTGTGCTGTGGATTCTTTGTCAGCCAATCCCCAGATTCTTCCCTGTAGCACAATTTTTGACATTCCTCGTTTGGGAACTCTGACAACTGCTCTGTGCAACTGCTTTCAGTTTGTAACATGGACACTGAAGCTGCAAAGGCACGTATGTCCTTACAGACCAAGAGGAAGGCCTACCTAAGAGCCATTAAGAGTTTTAAAGCCATTCAGCATTTAAATGTAATATTTCAGAGTGGATTATGGGAATGAATCCTCTGCCCGGACCCTCCCCAAAACCATTTTCAGGATGGGTAAAACAATGTATATGGAGGAGAAACAAAGCTTGGGTTGTGTGTACACAGTTGTGGAACACTTCAGGAAAAACATCAAAAATGAACCTTAGGTTGAGTTGTTTTATTTTGATCCTGACAAAATATTTCCTTCCTTGCCATATCGTTTTCAAGGTTTCATGGGACAGTATACTGTTCCTTTTTATCCAATTTGTACGTGTTCATTCCTTTTACTTCTTCATTTACTATGAAAAGTGAAAGACGCTAGAAAGAAAAGAATGATACCCAAACGAACCAGGGTGTGATTGGGACCTCTGGGCAGCAGAGGGCGAGAAGAGACAACTTTCGGAGACTTTGCAAATACTAAATATATATACTTTGGAAATGCCACTTTAACTCTACCAGAAGACCTAAACAGAGATATTTCTATCTTAACATAGAATCTCAAACATTTATTTTTAGGACATGATCTGCCCGAACGAACTGCTGTTGCATTTGACTTCAGAGGGTTAAAAAGGCATGCACAATTTAAAGTCTCACTTAAATGAAAGAGAGCTGCTAATCCATACAACAAACTATCCAGCCAGCCATGGATGGTAGCTCATTATGGGTTAATCTGCCACTTATTTTTGCTGCTTGCCAAGAACTTGTAATGTGGCCATACACAATGTGTTTACACACAGTTGCTGTTAGCTTAGCCGGCCACAGCCAAGGCAGGGCAGAGTATGTTTACTATATTTCCTCTGATATCAATAAAATAAAACAGCTGTAAAGTTTGTCATGATTCATTACTTTATATTAATCAACTTGCAGAAGGTTGCAAGGCCTTCAAAGAAGCTCTGATTTCATATAGTAACTCTGATACTGATGAACCTAATTTTATCATCCTAACTGACTTGTGAAGAAATAAGGTCTGCAACGTCATAGATTAAAATGGATAGCTCAGTGGTTAAGGTATCTAAAAATAGGCCTCTGAATATATTGGGAGTTTCATTTCCCATGGTGTCTCTTTGGCAGGGGCTGGAACTGATGACCCATAGGGTCCCTTCTTGCTCTGCAATATAAGATTATTATTATTATAAAGTGCATACAGTAAATAAAATAAAACTGCTAGTAGTAGAGAAAAAGGTTGTCTCCTGCTGTTTATCACTCAGTAGGGCCCAACTGATGGCTGTGCACTTACCAAATAGACAGGGTGTGCTCTAAGCAGGATGCCAGTAATAAGCAGTTACCCAAATGGTAAAGAGAGTCCCATTACAGTGTGAGTCCTGAGTCTAATCATTCTATTGCTGGATGTCTTTAAGCAGTTACCCAAATGGTAAAGAGTCCCATTACACTGTGAGTCCTGCTTAAGAGAGGGATGTCTCAGAGTCTAATCATTCTATTGCTGGATGTCTTTTGGAAACATAGTTGGTTGACCTATTGTTCAATGGCAACTCCAGCACCCAAGAAAATGCAGATATAATGCATCTTCGTGGTATCTGCTGGGGCAGTAGCTCTTTATAAGAAGTTGGAGGCCTCTTTTCTTGCTAGTCTATAGCAGACTGTAACATACCCGGGTACCAAGCATTGCAAATAAGTTCAGACACAATGCCTTCCTCATATTGTCATCAACGCATTCAAGAGACATAAGGTAGTTGATGACTCTTTCAGTCTGATGAGGCATAGATAATTCTCAGGACCCAGAACAGTTCTGCTATCATTTGCAAAAGATCATAGGAAAACATATGCAAATCCCTATGCAAATTAGCCTTGCAAACCTAACAGCAGGATGAAAAGCCCTCTTGGCTGTTGTATTTGCATACATTTTCCTCACACTGTGTTGCACCAATACTTTGCACCATACAGTGCCATTACATATTTCTAGTATGGAAAGGAAGTGTAGGTGGGTAGCAGAGCAAGGAAGAGATGGTTCCCCAGATAGCAAGCCAGAAAAATAAAAATGGGTTGAGGGGAGGTGCTACAGCCATGGCTAGTTTTAGGTAAATATGGAGGACAGTGGACAAGGAGAAACTACCCAGTAAGAGACAGAGGAGAAGAATTAGATTATTGTTCTCTTTCATTAAATAAAGGGGAAAACGTAGAAAGGGACTGCACCTTTTTATCGATTAAGAATTAGCCCATTGGTGTTCTTAATCTCCAGGGAGAGGTAAAGCTGTATAGTGTGGCTAGATAACAATCAAGGGATTTTATTTTTTTTCCAATATGACCCACCCCCATGCCTTCTGAAAAAAGCAAAGAATAAAGAGACAACACAGCAGTAAGGACTAATCTGTGTACTCCACTGGTTGTGAACTTCAGAGGTTACTAGACATGGGCTATTCTGTATTCATATCCCTAGGGAGAGAAATATAAATGGCAGCACCACAGGTGCCAAGGAGGTCCATTCCTGCCTCCCAGAACCAGCTGGTCCATTTACTGGTCATTGTGCAGAGCTAAGGACCTTCGTCGTTGTCATTGTTGCACCAATCACGGAAGGAGACCAGCTGGCTCTTCTCCACCTCCTAGCATAGCCTGGTGAACACTCTGGTGAGGAGGCGAGATGGGGAGTCTCCCCACTCAGCTGATGTGTGGGGAGGTGGGGAAGACCCAGCTGGGCTCCTTCCACCATTGCACAGTGATCAGTAAGTAGACCGGATGGTTCTAGGGGGAGAGAATAGAACTCTGAGGCACTTCTGGTGATACTGTTCATATTCCTGTCCCCAGGGATAGGAATATGAACAGCCCATGTCTAGTGGCTACTCATTCCAAAAAAATATCAGGAAATATGGCGGTTCCAAGAAAGTTTTGATACCTGTGATGAAATAACTGAGCTCAGCATTGAGGCCCTCGTCAGCATCGGTGCAGTTCAGGCGAACCACTTTGAAATCACGAGGTATATTTTCTGGAAGAGATACATTGTAGACCGCTGGGAAGAAGGTAGGGTTCTCATCATTCACATCTAAAACTACAAGAGAGAATTTGATCAAGGTTGACCCTGGGCCCTGCCACAGGTATTACTGGTCATTCTTAAAGATTCACATTGGTGGCCACTGTTGAAAGTCTATCAATAGTTACTCTCTTTATATTTTTGGACTGCTGTAGGGGGAAGGAAAAGGGATTGGATCTGTGCTGCATGGGTTGTCTCCTGAATAAGCCCAATCAGGGAAGCCAGAGAAAAGGGATATTGCCAATAAGCAAAACAGCAAACTGGCCAAGGTCTGGGCTGAAAGTGACAGAGCCGGATGCAGAAATTCCAGAGTTACAAATCCCAAAGAATTTTTCAATTTTTAAAAGACACAACTGTGTCCACAGGAACTTTCTCCAGGGAGAGGTAAAGTTGTATAGTGTGGCTAGATAACAATCAAGAGTGTGAGAGTGCATATAGGATTCCATGCTGCTGCACCAGAGTGTAGCACAAATATAAGGCCTAAGTGTCATTTTCAACACCATAGTTGGGTGAGCGTGGGCCCAACCTTTCCCTAAATCCATGAGAGGCTATATTCCCCGCCACTGCTGCCACCACCACCATCATAACACTACATTTTGGTAGGATGCTGGCAGAACACACATCCCCCCCCCACCTTCTGGCAAGGAGGTACTTTCAAACCTAACTGACCGTGCTTGACTTTTCAGAGTTTTGACTTTTGCACACATTTACCCTCCAAAACTGGGTTATATAGACCAGACTCCAGGGAGCAAACCTTAAGAAATGATCGAAAAGGTACCAAGTGCTACTGTTTGGCATGTCTTTTTGTCCATTTATTAGTAAGAGCAACTTGCAAATGGTGCCATGAATCTGATACTGTACTAGTTTGAGCCACAGCAAATGGTCCTAAAGTGTTAGATATCTTAGTGCAAATGTTAAAGATGTTCATCACCTTTAAAACACATTGAAAACACAAGAGAGACCATACAGTGAGAGAGCATCCCGTGCATTTCAGTCCTTCAGTCACCTCGGACGGTGAGTGTGCTTGTAGAACTTTTGGAAGGCACTCCTGCGTCACTTGCCACCACCCTCAGGTAGTATTCGGCGATCCTTTCCCTGTCCAGCACAGCTGTGGAGTTGATAAGACCACTGGTGCTGTTGATGACAAAGTCCATCCTGGGCATGCCCACCTGCATCCTATATGCTACTTGACCGTTGAAGCCTTCATCAAGATCAAGGGCTACCACCTAAGAGAGAGAGAAAGCAAAAGTGAAGCACAACTGCTTGATGATCATTTCCAAGTGAAGATGAAGCCAGGGCTCCAGTAGCCCAACAGAGAAAACAACTCTTTCCCCGGAGACTCAGTGATAAATTAAGGGCCAAACTGTTAGTTATACTGTACGTAATATGTCACTGGAATACAGACTTCTTGAAATGCTAAAAACATGCAGCTGTCACAGTGGAGATTTTTCTTAGCTCCTATAGTTTCCAAATTAGCTTGCTTTGCTTTATTATTGCTCTTTGGGAACTAAATACAGGCTTCGTTTACAAGTTTGGCACCTCAGATATGAAGGTCTGCCCCAGGCACATTGCTGGAACATGATCATGACTCCAGTTCTAATGACAGTGCATCTGTAAGGTGAAGTTTGGCACTCAGTGCTATCCCAGGGAGGCGAGGACTTATCACTTGCATACACGTTCCCTGTTCTCGAAAGGGAGACACAGTCTAACCAAGGTTTTAGTGAGGAGAATCAGGCCCTGGGGCTGAGTACAGCTCTCCTAAGGTGCCAGTTTGGCTGTCTGACCTTCCCCAGAAGGGCATAAAACTTTCCCCATAACATCATTGTTTTGTAGTTTCTCAGATCTTGAATGATTATTCTCCATGCCAAAAGGATTAATGCCTCTCATGAGGCTTAGGGCATGTCTACACTGGCCTTTCTGGTGCCATATAAATAGGGTTGCTTGAAGTTGTGGGGAGGAGCAATATGCCATTTGGCATGATCCTGGATCCAAATGGCATATTGACCTCAAGCAACGCTTAAGCTACTTCCGCTGTTAATTGAACACTTCCCCTTTCCCTCCCCAGGGGGAAATGTTCAATTTGCCAATATCCTGAGGTGGTTTGTTTATTTAAACAACTGCCAAAGCTATGAAGCTTGATTTTAGTCCTATGTGCTGTGGGAATGGACTAAGCTAGAGTGCACCAACTCACATCAAAAACAAAGCCGCTGACAAGGGCTCAAAAGGGTGTGGATTAAGGTGTCCTGTGGGCAAATTGGTCCACTCTACTAATTACATTGTGCAATCACCAGAAAAAAGAGTCACCCAATCCACTCTAACAATGCACCAAATAAAGAGGCAAATGCCTGTCTGAACAAGCCCTTGGATACTGGTAGAGTCTCAATCTAAAATACGTTTGGTCCTAAAGTTTTATCGGCCCCTGAGAATTTCTCTGCATCTGAATTAATTCCTTAGATTAAAAAAAAGCTCCCTGCCCTTCCTTTATCCCAATCCTTTGTGGCTATAATGATGTAGAATGCCAGCATTTTTGTTGTAGAAGACTTCAAAAAAGATGGCTTCCTAATCTGAAATAATGCCATTTCAGTAATTTGGGTAGAGAGACTGACAGGTATTACCTCAAACACCTCTAGGAAAGCAAGGACTGAACAAAACCTGGGACAATGGTGCTGCTGACTTGTGGATCATGTTCACATTTCATCTAGAACACACCATAGATGAAAGTGAGGTCTAAAATGGAGGGAGAACCAGACCCCTTCGTTACAACAAAAGGGATATGCCAATGGTGAATCGCCACAAGAGCTTATAATGTGTCAACTGGTTCCTGACTTTAACTCTCTCAACTTCCCATCAGCTTTTCTATATTGCTTTGGAAGTAGCCAGCAATCAGTGAGGCTATCTGAGGGAAACTTTATCGGCTACCTTGAAAAATTCTGAAAACACAGAAGGACTGGAGCCTTGACGTTAGAGAAAGGTTTAATCAAACTGCCCCCCATCCCAAAATACTATGAGTCACCCCAAATCTGCAACTCAGTTCAAATGGCCGTCTCAACCCCCCCGTGCATTAACACGTACCTGAAACAATTAGCAAGACAGGAAAAGATTCACCTGAAAGACAGAGGAGCCTGCTGGAAGGCCTTCAGGAATCTCGGTGACAAAAGGTAAGTTTTGGAAAGTGGGATCATTGTCGTTGAGATCTAGCAAATTCACAAATACAGTGGCACTGCTGGTGGCACGTAATGGTGGCCTTCCACCTGCCGGGGTCAGAAGAGTTACAACTTTAGTCCCACCAAAACCCTCACTTTGAATCTTCTAAAGCAGTGGTCCCCAACCTTGCGAAAAACCCTCACTTTGAATCTTCTAAAGTGAAGTGTCTAAGATTTGGCATAGAGCACCTCCTTACATTGAGGAGATGAAGCAACAACATTGTCCAGACCATTTCAGATAACTGAAAATTCAATTGCAATGAAACAACAACAACAACAACAACAACAACAACAACAACAACAACAACAACAACAACAACAACAACAACAACAACAACAACAACAACAACAACAACAACCAGAGAGAGTCTTGGAAATAGCAACAGTCTTGGAAAATGTCAATGTGATAAAAAAATAATTTTTAAAAATTACAGAAGAGCTAGAAAAAAATATTTATTTAACCTCCAGCAATCTATAGTTGTTGCTACCCTTGCTATGTAATTATTATGGGACAGAGTTATTTAAAGACCTGTAGAGAAAAGTCACGGTTTTATAAAAAGTATATAATACATAAAATCTTAGCGGTAAAATCTATATTTTAGTAATAGGGAAAAGAGACAGTCAATTGAATGTAAATGGAGATAAAGACAAGTTAAAATGATCGTACGGTCAGTAACAGAGACCACAATCTTTCTCATGAGCTCAGCTTCCTGAGGGTTTGGATTTTCTCTGTCCAACACAACCCCTGTTGTCCGAATCTTCCCTGTGGTACTGTTAAGACTGTAGAATTTGTTTGGTGGTCTGATGCTGTAGACAAGGGAGCCATTTTCTGCCAGGTCTGGGTCAAAAGCAACCACCTGCAGAGATTAAGAGAGTGACACTGCATGAATTGACAGAAGAAGAAACAAAAGATCCTTTTTATTTTTCAGTGTATCTGTACAACTATCTCTAAACTGAACCAAAAAGGGGGGGGAGTGGGGGCGATGGGGATACAAACAATTCCCTCAGTACCTTATTGTGTTGCACCTAAGTGTGCAGTCTCAGACAGAGATTGCAAAAGTTACCGTTTTGGATGATAACTTTCAGAATCCCCCAGCCAGTGTGGCTCTTAGCTTTGCTACTTTGGGTATTCTGACAGCTGTAACTTTTCCAAACTCTTGTTGAAGAAACTGTCCTTACACCCTCCTGTGGTGTACAGATGCTAATCCATCTGTGAAACAACACACAAGCAAAACATAATTATTAAAGGCACATAAATCCAACTTCTGTCTCACATACAATCACTCTTCTTGTGTGACACCTCAACCATCTTGGCAGGTCATGTGGTTTAAGAAGCTGAATACGCTTAGGCTGCAATCCTTCACACACCTATGAGTAAATTCCACTGAATGTGGTGGCCATTACTCCTGAGTAGACATATTTAGACAGGAGTAGGCACACTATGAACCTGCTTCCAGATGGAGACCATATGGTGATACATCAAAAGTAACCATACACCTAGTCTGTCTTTACCACCTTAAACATTACCTACAGAAGCTGCAGTAGGAAAAGAGAAGAGGGTTAACTGGTGAGCTTTTAAAATTCCCTAAAGGGGAAGACTGTAGCTGTTATTATGTATTCATAATGCCCCAATATTTTAAGACATCTCAATAAACATTTAGGTACTTGCAAGATTACAAAACACATCTGTATGCCAGTCAATGAATAACACTTCTTGCATTAGTCTGAGGACCAAAGCATAATATCTGTATGGGAGAAACCACAGTTATCCTGTGAAGCTTTGAAAGTACCTTTCAGATTTGGAAAGAGACTACCTTATTTCTTGTTCCATTTTGAACCCAATGGCACCCAACTTGGGAAATACCCTGACCATGAAGATCTAACAAGAAGCATCTACTGGTCATTTTTTCTTCAAGGCTTCCCCAACTGCAGGTTAATTTTCCTTTTTAAACACCTGTGATATATCACGATTTTCATTGTGATCATCTGTTTATTGCAAGTTGCCTTTAGGATAGAGATGGGCATATACCTGGAGGAGGTGGAGGAGGGAAGCATGAGCTCCTGCTATGACTAGTTAATGGCACAAAGAGCAGAAGAGCAGTGAGCACCAACTGGTGAGTGGGGGGAGCCAGCCGGGGGGGGGGGAAATGTGTGGCACCACGCCATTGAACCAACAGAAACCTCCAAACCAAGATTTGTGCCATCTCTACTTTAGGTCTCTTGGTTTCCTATCATATTATTGACAATATTATTAATAAAATGTCATTTGATTTAATATAGGGACGTGGTGGCGCTGCGGGCTAAACCGCAGAAGCCTATGCTGCAGGGTCAGAAGAGCAAGCAGACGTAAGATCGAATCCATGTGACAGAGTGAGCACCTGTTGCTTGTCCCACCTCCCGCCAACCTAGCAGTTCGAAAGCATGCAAATGCGAGTAGATAAATAGGGACCACCTCGGTGGGAAGGTAACAGCGTTCCGTGTCTAAGTCGCACTGGCCATGTGACCACGGAAGATTGTCTTCGGACAAACGCTGACTCTATGGCTTGGAAACGGGGATGAGCACCGTCCCCTAGAGTCGAACACGACTGGACAAAAATTGTCAAGGGGAACCTTTACCTTTACCTTTACATTTGATTTAAATGATATTTTAAAACAACAATAAAAAAGTAATTGAAGAAGAAGGTAAGTGCTATTAAAAAAACCCCAAAACTTACTCCAAGATTGGGAAAAGATGGTTGAATCAACCTGCAATTGAAAATTTATGAATGAAAACTGACTGACTGAATTATAATCAAAATGGGTACTTAAAGCCATTCATATCATTTTAAATAATTAGAAATAAATTATATTTGATCAGCACATAGAACACTGAAACACAGTGTTTCAAGTGGGCAAAGCTTTGGTCCCCAAAGAAACAGAAAGATCCAAAAAAGAAAAAGAAAAAAAGAAAAAAGCAAGAGCCATGTCAAGATTGTAGGTACACTCAAAAAGCAAAGCTTGTTCATGGATGGGGAGTAAAAGAGAGCTCAAAGGCCAGTTAAGGTAACCGAGAGTTAATTTCTATACAGTCAACCTGGAATGGAGCCCTTTGCTATTTCCCCTCCTCCCCAGAAGATTAATGTTTCATTACAGTATTTTTTTTTAACACAGTCTTTCTTGTTTGATGATTTTGTGGATTCTCTCAGCTTTCCCCTCATTTATTTTCTGTTTCACGCCCGTCATTTTTCTCCTAGTGTGATAGAGAATAATTCTCCCTCTCCCTCTCTTTTATTTTGCCAGAGGGATTTGAAAGGCTTTAAATCAATGCCTTTCAGAGAGGTCCTTGAAGGAGGTCGCAAGCCAGGCTGGGAAAGTAGAAATTGGTCACAAATTCTACTTTTATATTTTTCTTTTTAAAAACAAGCCTTAACACATGCACATGCAAAGAGAAAGATCATGCCACAATTGCCAAGACCAGGACATCTGGGTGCAGGGGCTCTGCTCATCAGCTGTGACTTTATGCCTTCCAAAACATGTTAAGAATCCAACTTTGCAGCTGAGGGCACACGGTACAGGAAATGGGAGTAGACGCAGAACACATTTGAACCTTGTGGTGCACAGTCCCAAAGACCAATGGTAGGAAAAGCTGCAGTGCTTGCAACCTTCTTCACATGGCAAAACAAGTATATGGTTAGAAGTGGCCACATGTCCTGTTTTAAGGAAAACAGTCCTCCATTTGATGGCCTTCTGGAGGACAATCCTACTTACAAAAGTGCCCTCTGCTTCAATGGTTGTTCAGTCTAAATCAAAAGATAAAGAACTATAAGGAGGAAGATGAGAGACCCTGAAATTGATCCTCCACAGTTAGCACCTAGATAGCGGTTAAAGCAGGTGCACAGATTACCTGGTCACAGTCTTCCTCATGTGAATCAGATAATGTCATTTCTAATTTTACATCTGTGTCTACAAATTAGCTTGTGCAATTTTATGCAAATCAGTATCCTCTTCTGTTTTGTTGGTAATTATTTCTTCCTTATGGTACCTAAAGCAACACATTTCAACCTTATTTCTACTTCTCTAGGAAAACCTGTGAATTGTTTTTTCTGGAAAGGAAACTCCTTATATACTTTTCATAGAATCTTATTCCGTCATAGAAGATTCTGGTTAAGGCAGTGCACCTGTCAGGCACCGTTACTCCAAACAAAATGAGTGCACAATCTAGAACAATGGTTCCCATCCTTGGGTCCATCATGCACTGTCAGGCACCATTACTCCAAATAAAATGAGTGCACAACCTAGAACAATGGTTCCCATCCTTGGGTCCCCAGATGTTCTTAGACTACAACTCCCAGAACTCCTGGCCAGCACAGCTACTAATGAAGACTTCTGGGAGTTGTAGTCCAAGAATATCTGGAGACCCAAGGTTGGGAACCATGGACCTAGAACATACTGAAACCCACCACTGCAAATCACATGGGAAGACTGACAGTGGTGGGCCAGATGTTGTTTGTTCAATGTTCCCTCCACAGTTCCAGAACTTTGGGAAAGTTACTGTTTTGAATATTGCCTCTAGAATCTCTCAGGTAACAGGGCTAGAACCTGCCCTGGCTGGTCAATTCTGGGATTAAGGAGGACTACTAGTTGTGCTGGATTCTGGGATTAAGAAACTTTGATACACTTCCAAGGAATTCCTGAGTCCTCTGTAAAAATGTTTGAAAGTGATTGTATTAAAGACAGTGCGTGCTGTTGGAAGTGGCTTGAACGCATCTTAGCTTACACTTAAGAAGATGAGTATCTTTGCATGGGGAAGAGTAAGGAGAGGGAACCTTTTCAAGCTTCCTGGATTGTCCTTTGCTTGTTCAGAGGTGTTATGAGCTGCTATTCTTAGGGCTGCTAATGTCAATTCCTTCCTTCTCACATCTCTCTTCAGTCACTCTGAAAAGGAGACATCTTGCCTTTGTTCTCTGGAAATAAGATGGGCAACCATGGCTGCTGATAGCGCCAATTTATGTGGCTAGAACGAGGGCTTCTGTCACTTTTCCTTTCTCAAGTTTTCTCCTTCATAAACACAAGCTTTCTTATTTTCTTTGAAAGAAGTGCAGACATGATTCCTTTACAAAGGGTGAAGTGTGCTCAGGTAATTGTTCAGAGTCTCAAAGGGCTAAATCCACAAGTTAACATTGTTTCAGTACTGGGTACATGTGTACTCTCCAATACATGTAACCTGACAAGACAGGTCATCACTGCTTAAAAGTCTGTTTTCGTATTCCAGTTGAGGTTTGCATCCCTTAATTGCCCTGGCATGGTTATTTATTAGTACACTGGGAATAAAGAATATGTGAAAAATTGGGAGTTTTGCGTACAAAAAACCTTAAATACCTAGTCCATAATAAAACTGGTGCAATTTCTCTTCATTGCAAAACATTTGCGACCCAGGTGACACAGCTGGCGCACAGCTGGGCTACCAAGAAAAGATGTCACCACCCCGGGATTTAGGAGGGTAAAAATTGGCCTCAACATTATTGGTTACACTTGCATCCACCACAACATGACTGCTAGGTAACCAAAGGATAGCTGTTAAGGGAGTGCTTCACCGCTGCATGTAAATACGTAGATTAACTGTAAATATGAGATGCGATATTCTCTATTCCAGCCACAATCAAGAGAGAGGACTACATCATACATGGATTCCATTCCAGATGGCATACAGAGGGCCTCATTAAGGGATTGCTGACAAATGTTAAGGAGCTAACAGTGCATCATGACTGCATCTTGTTAATATTTGACACTGCATGTTAATTATGCAACACACTGAGGAACATTGTAGTCTGTTTCATGGATGCTCCTTCTTACTAGTATGTTAAGTACTATCATCTCTGATACATATTACACATGTACCCTGTGTTGCCTGCAGGTCACTACTTGCTGCTTTAATGGTTGGACTTCATCCAGCAAAATTCATTTTTTTTTATGTTCACGGGACAGTTTTACTGCCAGAACAGAAAATTAACTTCAACACTTACAGTATTTGTACCTGAATTGCAGCAGTGTCATGCTTCAGAATGTGTTAAAGACAGCCGTATCAGACTCTGGAACCTAACAATCCCACACCTCATTGACACTCATTAACTTGTATCAAGAGTAAGCAATCACGATCAAACTCACAAACGCAGTTTAAGGGAATTAGGTTGTAATTCTGTACACATTTCCCTGAGTGTAGTTCAATGGAAATGGATGTGCTTTACTTCTGAGTAGAAACACACAGGATTAAACAGCAAACTTTAAGAATTGCATATGGCATGCCTTTGATTTTACCTACTAATTGACAGATATTCTGGATGTATTTCCAGACAAAGTTTTCAAAGTTCAATCACCATGACTCTTTATTCATTTTTTTGGAGGAAAGGGCTAGATGTGATTCTGTTTAGACAACACTGTAAACCAGTTGTAATTCAGTGTTTTCTTCTTACCTCTGAGATTTTTGCTATGACAGAAAACCCTCTTGGGGCTTGATAACACATGCCAAAAGAATCCCAGTTATATAGATTATTCTAGTTTTTTAAAAATAGTTTTATAAAATTATGTTCACGTGATGCATGAATAAAATGTATTCATTTGGTCAGCCAATGAGTCCCCCCCTCCTCTCTGGAAGAGTTGTTTAAAATGTACTGATCATGTATTACTTCATTCCTTATTGTTTCAGCACGTGTGAATGTTGCACTCAATTTATTTCCTTTGCTAAGGGGTTGGGTTTTTGGGCACTGTGGCCACTTCATAGTCATTGCACTTGTACCCAATAAAGAGATATTGATAATCTTCATAGATTGCTGCCTTGTTGTGGGGAAGGGGCTTGAGTAACTCAGAGAAGCTATTATCTTAAAAGATGGCGCTGTTAAAGTGCTACATTCAATATGCCAGCAAGTTTGGAAAACTCAACAGTGGCCAGAGGACTGGAAAAATCAGTCTATATCCCAATCCCAAAGAAGGGTAGTGCCAAAGAATGCTCCAACTACCGTACAATTGCACTCATTTCACACGCTAGCAGGGTTATGCTCAAAATCCTACAAGGTAGGCTTCAGCAGTATGTGGACCGAGAACTCCCA